CGTCCGTAAAGACGCTAACAGACTTGCTCGAAGCCTCGAAGGACTGGATGCTCAGGTACTCCACGCTAAGTTCTCTGGCTTACGCATATAGAAAGATGGGAGACTTGGATTCGGCTCTTGACAAGTTTGATCAGGCTCTGGAAGAGATTCCCGACGACATATCGATACATGCGGCACAGGTTTATATCAACCGCGCAGGAGTGTTCAATGACAGAGGAGCTGAGCAACAACGCAAAGGCAATCCTGTCCCGGCTATGGCCTCCTTCGAGAAAGCGCTGGCTGAGTACGATCGAGCAGTACAAATCATGCGGAGATTCGGCGAGTGGAACCTGCAAGATCTTGTGAGAGCTTATGCCGGGGAAGCAGTGGTTCACTTCCACATGAAAAACTACAGCGTTGCTATGCTTAAGCTGGACAGTGCTACGAGCCTGGTAAGCAGTGACGATGCACTGCTCATGGGAAAGATCAAACGCATTCGGGCTTCTATACTCGCGACAGAGGGAAGAATGGAGGAGTCGGCCTCGGAAGCTCGTGAAGCAGCTCTCCTGTTTGCGGACGTCCAGATGAAGCTGCAAAACATGGAGTCTGCTTGGGTGACTCTTCTGGATGACGATATGAAGCACATATACTATTTCATGCAAAGGATCTCATCGGAGGCAAACAGTTTCGTGGATGCACTCTTGTGGGCCGAGAGGAGTCGCATGAGATTGTACTTTCACTTGGCAGACCAAGCTCTTAGAAACTCCACTCCCGCAAGTCCAAAGTTACTGGACCCTTTGGCATTTGACAAGGACGATCACCACGCTGCAAGCTGCATCAAAGAGGCTGTTGCGAAAGCTGGCTATAACTCCGTGGTGGTGGAGTATGCATTCTCGGCAAACCATCCACTCTCTTCACTGCTCATCTACGTTGTGCATTCCACAGCAGGGGAGGATTTCACTGTCCGCTTCAAGCGCGTCCGCTTGCAGGAATTCTTTGCTTCCAAGGAAAACAAGGTGATGGGTGGAAATCTAGACGCGCTCATCAGGAAGGCCAGAACAGTGATTCAACGCGAGAGCCACGAGGCAGAGGCAAAGGTGGCGCTGGGGATTCTCTACAAGCTCACTGTCCTGCCTGTTTGGGAGCACATCGAGCCCCATGACACCGTCATCTTTGCTCCGCAAGGAACCATGTCACTCGTCCCGTTTGCCGCACTATACGATGGATCCGAAGGCCAGTTCCTCGTCGAGAAGAAGAATGTGGGAGTCATCCCTTCCATCCGAGCTCTGCGACGTTGCCAGCTCCACCAAGATCATCACCACGATCATATCGACGAGCCATCTTTCTTCGTTGCTGGGGATCCGGAGCCAATGGGTCTCGATCAGCCTCAACTTCCAGGTGCGAGGAAAGAAGCCGAGGAGATTGCCAAGCAGCTCGGCGTGGATGCGTTAGTCGGCGCAGCCATGACAAAGAGCTCCGTCATGCAAGCGCTGTCTAGCGCGTCCGTGCGTGTAGCCGTGCTCGCAACTCACGGGCTGGTGAGCCCGGCTTATCCTCACGGTGCCTTGGTCATGCAAGGGCAAAACCAGCAGCAAGGATTCAACGAGCTTACAGTGGGTGTGACGAGCAGCCTCCGCCGAGAGGTCGATCTTGCTTTGAAGCAACAAGCTGTGCTCCACGATCAAGTTCTCACTGCCAAGGAGATTGAGCGGCTGGAGAAGGGCATCGCGGCTCGTCTCGTGGTTCTGAGCGCTTGTCAAACGGGCGATGGCGTGGTTACCAGCGAGGGATTGCTGGGGCTCGGGCGAGCAGTGTTGCAGGCTGGTGCGGCGTGTGTGCTTGTCACGCTGTGGAAAGTGGACGATGCTGCCACACTGCAACTCATGACTGGTATCAAAACTTTTCCTTTTCGTATCGTTTCTTACTTTGTTGCACAGGTGTGTTTGAAGAGCTTAACAAGCAACATACCATTGTCGAGGCCGTGAGGTTTTCGATGCTCAAGTTGATCGATTCTGGAAAGCCCATCCGCTTCTGGGCTCCTCTGGTTGCTCTAGGAAGTCCCACATTGAGAATAAGTTTGGCTGAGGAAGCTTAAGCTCCAGCCCAACTAGACTAAACACTGCAATGTCGAATTCGTAATTACACTGGCATGATGTCAAAGATGTATTTCCTGACAATTATTTTGCTTGAGATGTTGATGTTATCCTGGATATCTTTCATCTCTAGCGCTCTGTGTGGTTCATCTGTGGAAGACAAAACAGTTTAGAAAGCGATAAGAAAAAAGAACTTTGAGAAGAAACCTTCATGTAGTTTCACCCCTGCGAAAACAATGTAAACAATCTGCTGCTCAACTTGTGTGAAGCTGGGATCAGAGCTCTCAATGCGGAAACTTATGGGATCACGCCTACTTTTCACTTGGTCTGGAAAACATCGCTTGAACTTGCTGTAATGCAATACAAAATGTTAGGGAGTGTCTCAGGAAGTGCTACAAACTTATGCTTGCTTGAACCTTGCCTGTTGAGGCTATGGTTGGCTAAAGAGTGATTCGGATAAAACAGCTCAACCAATGCTTTGGTGCAATCAGAGTTGTACCACGTGTTATGAATGCCACCATCAACTGAGTTTGGTTGTTCAATTGCAAATGTATAGCATCAAGCAATTGTATCAAGTTTCAAGGAGTTTTATGGCTGATGCTAATGCCCTTTCTCAAGCTCCTCTTCCTTCTCCACTCTCTTCTCATGTAAGGTGACAACATAGAAAAAGTAGTCGTCTTCATCCACCGATATCTCAAACCTGATCTTGGTAGAGTTTTCGATCTCATAACCTCCCTCTCGGGCCGCCCTTTTCAAGTCATTAGATTCTGGAGTTCTAGACGAAAACTTCGACCCAAATTTTCCTCCAATCTCCAGAGCCACCCTGCACACCTCGTCATCCGCATTCTCCACAGCAAGCCTATCCAGAAGCTGCACAATTCCAGGTCTCTGTCTCGGCGAGCAAAAACTCGAGGCTGTGATCACAGCAAGGCGAGTCTCCACAGTGAGTGCATGATTCAAAGTCGTGAGCTGGTCCTTGATCCGAGCAGTGATCTCTTTAGTGCGTCGGTTTTGCTTGACAAGCCCTTGTCCAAAAAATGCCTTCAACACACCGGCATCCAAGTTCCCACTCTTGGTCGAGCCAGTAAATCTTTGAATCTTCACATTCGCGGCTGCCAATTCCTTTCCAAGCTCCTCTATGACGACTGATCTCACCCGGGTGATAGGGCCAGACTCACCTGCTGCTTGAAGATCCAGTAACAAGCTCCCCGCATGATCTACACAAGAGACTAGATCTTGCAGCTTGAGTGGTGCATTTTTAAGCTCTTCCCTCACTTGGAGTATGTGTCGCACAAGTTTTATTGCCATATCTACCAAGCCGACCACATTTCCTGCCGTGTCCATCTTACATGACCTATGGTATGCCTCCTCCTTTCATCCTAGAATTCCAGTGAAAGTCAACACGGAATGGAATTATTCGAGCCATTGTGAAACATTTAAGTCAGTAAAGATGCCCTTGTTGAAAAGTAAAAAGGTTTTAAGAAGATTATAAGGGAACGATGGACGTGTTCTACAGCGATCCGTCACCTTGTGCGGCAATGGCTGCGTGCCACTGCGAGCCATTGCGAGCCATTGCCAGTCGATTTGGGCTACAATGGAGATTTGCACATCGAAAAGGTGCGATCAGAAACAAACAGGGATGGCAGCCAGAGCCAACCGTTCCAGATCGGTGGGTATTATGGCCCATTCTCAGCAGGCGATTCATGTGCACTGGAGGTGATGCTTTGGAGATCCGGCTAGAGAAGCTATTGCATACGTCCCGCTCCATCGCCGTTTACAGTGCCATCGATCTCACCACAGGCGATCAGCTTGTTCTCAAGCTGGACTACGAGGCCGACATGAACCTCGGTGTTGAAGTTTCAGCGTTGGCGTCGCTTTGCAAGCGAGGGATCAAGTCGCCCAGCTTGCCCGTGCTTGTCAGCGATGGCTGCTTCCGGGCATGGGGAGTTGCTACCGAGCACAGCCAGTTTGGTGACGTGCATGGGCTTGTCACAAAGCCGCTGGGACTTTGCATTCGAGGCATGAAGTTCCATGGGGGTGTCTTGTGCAAGTTGGCGTTTGACATCCTCCTGGGGCTATACCACCTTCACCTGATCGGCTGCCGGCACAAGGACGTCCACCCCCGCAACATGATCCTCTTGGGTGGCAACCAGTTCGCATTGATCGACCTCGAGTTTGCTTGGTGCGAGGACGAGGAGAAGATCTCGGCATTGCAGCTGAACATGTTCACGACGACGAAACCCTCCCTCCGTCGGACTGTCAGGCTCTTGTTTTCCGCTTGGTGGAGCTCTCCCAAGAGCGGCCTACTGTGACTATGGAGGCCGCTATCCAGATGCTGGAGGCGGAGAGTGGAACGCTAGGCGACTTCGCAGCCTACGTTTCCAGGCTCGATCGCGATGCTTGGCCTGATTTCAAACAGTGGCTGCATCGCCTCGGGAAAGCTTGCGGCCTGAGTGATGCACGTATCGAAGATTTGTTGGCAGGACGGGTATCTTCGGCAGAGTTTGGTCCGCGGCCTGTGGAAGTCGCTCCCAAACGTCCGGTGGAGCAGCCTTGGGACAACAGGCCTGTTGCGATCTGGGTCAAGTTTGTGCAGCAGCTGGGCGCCTTTGCTTGTGGGGAGGGCGCGTTTTTCCCACTGGAAGGTGTGAAGGCCAAGTGGACGCTAGATGGGGTGGAGGTGGCAGGGCGTGCAATTGGAGCCAGGGAAAACCTCGAGGAAGTGTTAGCATGGAGTGGGCACAAGGGAACGCCCGATGATCCTTCGGTAATCAGTGGCAGGCCTCGTATGATCGTCGGCACAATCTAAATTCTCTAGTGATCTAGAGATGTTCGCTCTTTAAAAAGTAGTTCGCGCTATATCCAACGGCTGGCGCTTGCTTAGCCGCCCGTCAGAAGCCCTAATCTTGATAGAATATTCGCATTAGGGCTAGAGAATATTCGTTTTTAAAAAAGGGACCATGTAAGAAAAATCAAACGACAAAACGCGGACAATGTATATCTGTACAAAAACAAGAACAAACCTTGTTTCCACATTCCTTGTTTTAGGATGATTAGCCCACCGCGATGAGCTAATCATCGTAAAACAAGATGTGGCTCCTTCCCTTCTCTTTCCTTTGTTTTTCGTCCCTGCTCTCTCTTCTTTCTCAATCGTCGTAGGGGCCTTCAAAGTTAACGGGCCTCGTCTTGAGCCAATGCATCATCTCCGAGTCTGGATAGCCGCGTCGCTGCACGGCATCCAGCATTGGACTCCCAAACAGCCCTCTGTTACTCTTGAACTCCCAAAACTGTGACTTTGGCCACTGCTTTTGAGGCCAGCGCTCCTGCGCAACAAGAACCAAGTTAGCCACAGAGAAACGAGAGAAACGCATCGAGCGTACCATTCGCGGGAACATTTCTTCTCGAAACCTGGAGCCGTACGCACGCCGAGAATCTTGCTGCAAGCCCTTGGCGTAGCAGGACGAGAAATCCGGGAGCACCAGGCAGCCTCTTCGTTGCTGTACAAGGCTGGCACCAGGATCAGCGCATGTCTGCTTGAACCAGGATATGAGCTGCCCAAGCACGTACTCCTTATTGTACGTCTTCTTCCACTTGTGGCAAGAGGGAGGATTGACATGCTTGCCAAGATCCAGGGAGCTTATTTCAATCGGAGGGGACTCAAAGGTGCCATACTCCTGCGGTAAAATATGCGTGATGAGACGATCAACACAAACCATAGACACGCATACCTCGCACGTAAAGAAGCACTGAGTGTACGCGTACATCTGAACCAGGTCTGCAGCTGCATCATGTCTTGACAACACTGTCGGCTCCAAACCTCGCAGCGTATCTCTTAGCCTAAAGAAATCGTCAGCAAGAACAACACAAGAAAGAGAAAACGTACCATAAGAGTGACTCCCGGAGGCTTCCCCCGTCGTCTCTTTCGTCTGGCGTATGCTCTTGAACCTGCCGCTTCAACTCAGCTAATCTATCCGCCGGGATGTGTGGCATCATACAGCTAAGCAGCTCGTTCACAATCGAATTCTCTGCACTCCACAGCCGCGAAACGAGTTCCTTCTGATCGAGCTTTTTCAAAAGAGGTGGTGCCTCCCGAGGATCCGTGAACAGTTGCCGCAGGACGTACCTCACCTGAAACCGGCAAAAGAAAACGCCGTCAATAAAAGAAGATCACGAAGAAGAGAAAAAAGAGGAACATTTACTTTGTCAAGTGTGATGGCAATGTTTTGCAGCCTTTGATTGTAGACACCCTCGGCCTGTAAACAACAGAGGTGGGTTACAAACATCCAAAGTCCCCTTTGATGTGATTTCAAACCTGGTTCTCGGCGTCGACTCTACCGAGTTCATAAGATAAATCGGCATCCTTTCTCTTCTTTTTAACACTTCTCATGAGCTCGTCAGGCAGTAGTTGCCGTTCCAGATTCATAAACTCCACCTACAAAAACATGAGTGGAGATCAAAGTTTAAAATTTAAAACATACCAGTCGGGCCGTATATTTTAGCAACCAATCCGGCAAGCCGTCCAGAAGACAAGATCCAACACCCGCCTGCCTCATCTCTTCGAGCTCCAACCTTGTCACCGGCCCCTCACAGCAGGCTTCAAGAAGTAGAACATGCCGGTCCAGTAGACCATGCCGCTCCTTGATAACATCTTGTGAAGCTCCCGCATTAGCAAGATTAAGATAGCTCCCACGACAACACTGGCTTCCGCACAAACAGATTGAGTTGTTGTACTCCTCTTTGCTCTGTAAGACGACGTGTCAGGCTTGCACAAATCATAAAGAGAAAGAGAGTGAACTTCACCTCCGTCACAGAATTATAGTCGAAAGTTAGTTCTTCACCATTCTGGATAGGTCGTAGAGCATAGACTCCAATAATGTATCGGCCTTTGACGGCAGTGACCCTGACAAACCCGTGTTAGCACATAGGACTGATTTAATTGAGTGAAGCTTACTTTGCCTCGCAGTTTGGTCTGCATGAGTGACATATCCGACTTGCAAAATTTGCTTTGTGCATGGCATCCACGACTACAAGATCGTAGCCAGCAGCATCACCCTATAACCGCATTTGATCAGTAACTGACGCTCAAGAATCAGGGTAAGCACCTTTGGCCGTTCCAATAGAATGTTGTAGAACTCTGGCAAAGGTTCTTTATCTTTCTTCTGCAAATACCGGCATCCGTCCTGTTTCTCATACCATCTCCAGGCAGGATACACCTATAATTGATTGACAGAGTTAAGTGGGAATTAAAACAAGTAAACGTGTACCTCCCCAAAGAACTCCACAACAAAGTCGTCCTCCTTAAATCCACCGTCCTTGTTACAAACCACCCCGAGGCCCTGCAGTGCAATTAATAAGTATGCCTTAACATGCACGCGCACGGCAGTGAGCATACCTTGCGATAAGCTAAATACTTCTCCTTTGTACGATTGCGCATGTTAGAGAGAAGCCCTTGGGCAAACTGTTGCATGGACGTATCTTGAGCGTCATCTACGATTCGTTGTATGACGGGTTCCAGTGAAAAATCAATTGGCGCTTTTCCTGTACCGGTAAACTGTTTTACCTCCTTGTTTATGGCTTGGAGCAATGTCTGCAAACACACTGTAAGTCGCCAAGGACAAGAAACATTCTGAAAGATCATACCTCTTCCATAAACTGCAGTTTCTCTTGAAGTGTCATCGCTGGAATCTTTGGCATAGTATCCAGAAGAAGATTATGTGTGTACGGGTCTATTCCATAAACCTCCTGCTCCATGACTTCCAGCCCCAATTCTCTTCGAGGGTGGTACTCCTTGATGTCAGGAATGTCTAGGTGGCTGTATTCACCACGCTTCAGCTTTGAAGCCCTTAGCTTCTCCTCATAGTCGTCTGGAACCTCGACTTTCATCTTCCTTTCGACCAAGTCTTTGTCTATGACTATCCAGTAGTCCTCAATAATCTCATACTTCCTGGTCACCGGTGGCACCATCGCTGCTTTGGGCATGCGCGCACCCCATTCGCGTACATCGCATGCATACTCGTCCACCTCGGTGAATTCTTCATCCAGTACGACAGACTTCACTGAACGTCTTAGCTTGTTGAGCTTCTTCGTCACCGTAGTTTTCCGTTTGCCTTTCAAGTAACCATTATCCTTTAGGACCTTTATATCGGTGGTCACCTTAACCCGTTTGTAGCCGCTGTGCTGCGTCATGGAATCGATGTCCTGCTCGTTGCTGTAGCATGGGTCTATGTCCATCGGCTCTGACTCATCCACGTCTTCATCGTCCTTACTTTAGCTACAAGTGCCGATGGAGTTCAAGCTTTTCATCTTGCGATGGGAATCATCGCTTCCCTGAGTTGCACTGTCGGACACCTCACTGTCGTCGTATACCCAGTTTACTTGAGGAAAACTGTGACTAAGGTCGCCGAACTGGTCACAGCCGTTGATATCAACATCTTGAATCGTCGGACAAGCCTCCAAAAACTTCCCGAGAGCATCCGGACTGAGCACCGTGCAATCCTTCAGCAGTATCTGCTTCAGGTTGCCCCCACCGTAATTTTGTTGCTGTTTAGTAGGATGATTAGCCAACCAGTGAAAGAAAGAAACTTTCGCATACCTGGACCGAAGACAAAACAGCATCTGTGCAATGCACTCCGATGGACGTAAAATCGAGGCATTTCACTTTTGGCTTGAACTTCTCAACAGCAGCGCGCCAGGATTTGCAGGTCATAGAAATCAATGCCAGCGATTTCAAGTCCCCTTTAAGATGATGGTAGATTCGCATCAGCATCAACTGTCCTAGTGTCTCCCAGCTGTTATTCTGTCCCGCCTCGTACAAGTGCTCATCCGATGAGTCAAAAACGTCGTTGCGGATCAGACGTCGCTGTCTTGTTCTTCTTCCTGTCGGGAGTTCATCTTCCGACGATTCTACATCGTCATTGTAAACCAGACGCCGTTTTCTGGAAGTCTGCTCCTGGCTCAATCCGTTAGACCTGAATAAAGGCCTTCTGTTGGGACGATGATCTTGGTCACCTACGAAAGAACAGTTAGGCATTACAGTAAACCATGGGAAGCAAATAAGCGTACCATCTTCGCGTTCGTCACTTGTGTCATTGGAGCTCGAAGGCGAGGGGTGAGACCTTCCATATCCAATCCAAGAATCTTCGCCGGAGAGCAAAGCTACTGTAGAGCACGTTGAAAGCCTTCTGTTCGACTCTATGAGCTTTGCACGAGCATCTAAACCTTCGAACAAAATCGCGGACATCACCTGATTTTTGTAGTGCTTCATAACGTGTTCATGTAGCTGGCCGCTGGTGAAGGCCATGATAGTCTGCTGGATATTTGTGGTCACGACTTTCCTCACGCGTCGGGCACCATCAAAACTGGAAGTGGTCACCTCTGTCACGTTGAAGTTGCCATCATCCATCTCAGGCCGCGGGAGTGGCACCCAGAGATCATCACTCTTCCTATAAGCGCTGGTACCCGGTATTAGGAGCTCTCTTCCAACCATTGCTTGCAGTTCAGCAAATGAGTACGGGCCTCTTTCGCGACCACCTCCATCCTTGTAGAACCAGTCTCCTCTACCAAGATCATGGTTGCATTTAGCCTTGATATCTGCAGAGCATGAAGACGGTCTCTGAGCTTTCGAAGCAAACGTTCTTGCTGAAGGTGTGTGCCTTTCAGGTGGCAGTGTCTTAGGACGCGTATCGCTGAAAGATGCCTTCTTCGTAAGGAAAGAGCTCGGTCTTTCCATGCTTGCTCTCTCCGGAGCAATCTCTTTTCCATGGTCGAAAGCCCTGGTAGCAGTCTTCGCTGGCCTGGTTGCCGAAGCTGATTTCGTCGTTTCAGCACTTGAATCCGCCTTCTGATTTCTGTCAAGTGCCCACTGTGGCAGTTCAAACTTTGGTCTTTCTGACACCTGGACCTGCCTCCTGGGGTCAACCCCGTAATGCGGACGTTCGCAGAGCAAAGAACCCTCATTCAGAACCACCTTGACGTAGTTCTGACCATCCGGATGAAGTAACTTCCAGTCTCCTCCCTTGGAAGTCCATCTACCAGGCTTCCACTTCAATGGACTTGGATTGTGATCGTGATGATGCAAGTCCTCCTCGGTTGACGGCGGAGGAGCAGGCACCGGCTCGGGTGGCACAACTCTGGGAACCGCATCTAGACACTCCAAATCAGCATCAACGCCGAATCCGAGGTTGTATGAGTCCTTCCACGGATTACTCAGCTCAGGCGGAGCAGAACCTGCAAAAGCCAATTACGCGTTAGCGAATATCGACCGCAAAAACCATCTTTTCCACAACCTTCGTCTGGTGAGTGTTGTCGCTGTGCATCCAACGCACCTGGCACAAAACACAAGTCAGTGGCCCGTTAAACGCCTTACGATACTTACTAATTAATAGCACAAAACTTACTCAATACAGATTTAAGCTCGTTTCCTTGGTCCGAGGCACGACAGGTCGCAAGTATTCTCTCCACCCTTCCGTCAATGTCCAAGAACTCAAAAGACTCATTTTGGAACTGCGCGTTTCCATCGATGGTCGATTCCACCAGTGTAGCATCTTTTGCATTTCTAGTAGCAGCGACAGGATTTACCAGCTTCTGTAAGGCGACGAACGTTGTCGGAGACTGTGCATGCTCTAGAGTGATCCAGGCGTTTGTCCGCAGCGCATCACCCAGGGCCGTGGTCGTCGTTGGGCCATGAACTCCCTGGACGCCAGCAGCTTCAATGCAGCCAGCTCCATAGGCCCCTGCGTGTCTCCATCTTGTTGATGTACACCCACCCGTCCTTCACCTCTCCAGGCTCATACGTTTCATCTCGGTCTTCCTGTTCTTGTCCATCACTTTCGATCTCCATCGCAACATGAGTTCCCGGATCACCTAGAACAGGCTGCAGGGCAGCCACAGGAGGCGGAGGTGTAGAAGATTCGTGCTCTACGGAAGGAGGCGGCAAATGGTGACTAGAGGAAAGAAAAGCCGATCCTTCATTCGCTTGGAATGCCGGGACCGCCGCTTGTACACTGGTAAACCTGCTACTTGAATCCCACTGCCCGCTACTGCTACGATAGTCATCCGAGTGCCATTCCTCCGAGCTTCTGACTTGCCTCCGATCTCTTTCAGCACCTCGAATCCAGTCCCTGCGCTCAAACACTTCCCGATCACACCTGCGATCTCTAGCATCGTAGCTCTCTCTACTCTCGGAGCGATTTCCCCAGTCCCGATGATCCCTGCTACCGCGTGAAGCACACCAATCACCCCGACGCTCGAAGCCATTCCTAGTACCAAATCTGTGAGGCCCCCTATCGTAAACCGCTGAACGCTCGTACGAAGAGCTCTTGTACTCTAAGCTCGGCTTCACATCGTTTCTATAGTAGTTATCTTTGCGGATGTTCCCCTGGATCGTCACACACCTCCGGCTGTCATTGTATCTCCGGCTTCTCGAGTCATGGTCCGCGTAACCATTTCCATAGCTGCTCGAAGAAGAGATCATAGAGGCCCTCCGAGAACCGATGGTGTGTCTCTCGTCAAGATCATTGTCTTGACCATAAGCTAAATCGTTCCCGGACTCCGATTGAGCTCCCTGCTTGGTGGGCGATGGATCCCATCGAGTTTTCCTGCCACCCCGCCCCTTATCTTCCTTGTCTTGATGCAGCGGGAGAGCGTTTTCCAGCTCCCTGTCTGAGCGGGAAAAATGGTTTGACTCGCCCAGGTGAGAATCCATGCCGGAGCCGCGAGAAAATTCTTCCTGGTGCTCTCTAGCGTCCAGTGAGAGAGTGGGCTCGTCTACTTGGTTGGCATTCTGGAAATTGAGATCCAGGGGAGCGCCCGGAGATCCAGGGGGTCGATCTGGGCTCGACACCATAGTCACTTCCTCCTCCTCAATTTCATACTGGTGTACCAAATCTCGCGACAAGCTTGGTAGCACTGAAGAACAAAAGGGAAAGAAAGAAAATTGCAAAAAATTAGTCAATTGAGACACTGGGGAGAAAGAACGCGAGCTTCGTCCTAGGGTTGAGGAGGAGAAATCGAAGCAAAAAGAAAGAGGGGCTCATGCCAGCTCAACCCGCAATCGACCATGCAGCAAACAATGACGAGAAAATCCCACTCCACAAGCCAGGAATCACAGCTCAGGCAAGATCACGCTAGGTCTTCCACCCCGCGGGGCATGGACAGACGGGAAAAACCCCAGCCCAGTTCCCTGTGCCAGAATCAGCCACACAAACAAGAAAGCACGAAATTTGGGCAGCGGAACCTCACCCTCGCCCATTGCCGTAGCTGCGCGCCGTGCATCGCTGCTGATTGCGCTCCCCCGACCTAAGCGCAGCAGGAAAAAAGCGCCATAGCCGCGAAGATTACGAGCGCGCGGAGGGATTGCAGAGCTGCCCGACGATCCTGCTGCTTGGCGCTGTGGCTATGGCGGCTCCTCCTCCGCCTTCCCTCCCCAAAGATCTGTCACACACGATTGATGACGCTGGCGTTGGCCCTAACCCTGTGAAGCTTCAGGGGTTAGGGCTGCGCAGTATAAGCCTATCGTTAAAAAGAAGAAATAAAACTAAAGGAAAAACTGGAACCTTTTACCAAAGTTTACTGTTATCTACTTGCCAAACGTGGAACTTTTAAATTCGTTGCCGTACATTTCACCGTAGAGGCTACGGAATCTTGCCCTAACCCTACCTTTGGCGATGGCGCTCAAAGCGAGATGACGCTCGCTGGTTCTTTGCTCCTCCAGCGGCGGCGCAATGAGCAAGAGGCAGCGCAGTAGAAGCCGCTCCCCTGGACGGCGCCGAAGGGATCGCAGCAGATCGCCCAAGCGATTGAGGTAAGAGTGGAGCTAGCTCGCCCATCCCAATCGCTTATCTCAGTGTACTTTCATCTTCCAGCCGGTCTCCACCGCCGCGGATCCATGGTAAGAAGCAGAAGATCTGTGTGGATTACGCCAGGGGGAATTGCTTCAGAGGGAATGAGTGCTGGTTTCTCCACGACGAGTTTGAGGACAGATACCAGCGGAGGAGCTACAGCCACAGTAAGCGCGACTCGAGCTTCTATCCCAGGGGACGGGATGTGAATGGGAAATCGAGGAGCCGGGAGCTGGACGACGATTACAGGCACAATGGATACTCTCGTAGGGAACGGGAGGAGAGTCCCAGTCACAGGAGATACTCTAGGCGAGATAGTCCCAGTCCCAGGCCATCGACTGAGCGTGTCGAGGAGCAGCATAGAGTGGTGGAAACGCATCAAGAGCGTAGAGCGGTGGAAACGAATCAACAGCATGGAGTGGTGGAAGCTTACGACAGAATGGTGGTGGAAACATGCCAAGAAGAGCACGCACAAAACGAGACACAGGAGCATCAGGATTCGGCTTTACCAGATCACGCTGGGTGTGAAGTAGCTGATCACGCTGGGTGTGAAGTAGCTGCAGTGGCTGTGGCTGCCAGAGATAACACTCGAGATGAAGCTCGAAATGAAGCTCTTTCCAAGCCACTTCCAGAGGTTGAGCGTGACTTGGAGATGTTTGGAGCGCCGGAGTTTTCTCTCGAGCTACAAAAGACGCAAAGTCACAGCCCGAGTGATGATCGGAAGAAGATGATGGACAGGGAGATGAGGTCCTTGAAGGTGCTGAGGAACGCGATCACAGACTTCGTCAAGGAGTCGCTCAAGCCGGCTTGGAAGGAAGGCCACCTGAGCAAAGTCGCGTTCAAGACAATCGCGCAAAAGGCCGTGGACAAAGTCATGGGAACGTTGCAAGGTCACGAAATCCCAAAGGGCCAGGCCAAGATCGAGCAGTTCATGGATTCCTCCCACGCAAAGATCACCAAGCTCGTCAAGGTACCGACACTCTCATTCGTTTCAATTCATCCTTGTTCTCTTTTTGTGCAGGGATACTTGGACAAGTATGTGTCGTGATGTTTTGACAATGGTTGGAAGCCGGAAGATTGATTTCTCAACAGATTGTACTATGTAAGTCTATAAGTATCAATAGCTAACATTTAAGGTACGCGCACTGGTTCTTCTACTCTTCTGTGTTCTTCAATTTCTCTATGGTATTTCTTTCGATCTAACAAAAAAAATCGGTTTTTGATGAGCCAGCTCTAGGTGGTCACTCCAGCAAGATATTGGTCATAGGTCCGGGGTTCTCGGGGTGTGCCTCAAACGCGCTCCACGCCGCTCGGAGACCACACTGGATATCACTGTGGATCCGAGCGCCGCCAAGCAGCGCTCCCCAGGTGGTATCATCGGGAAGATATGGCATGCTCTGGATAAGCTCCTCGGCCTGTGGGAGCTGCCCTGCTCGAGCCAACAAATCCACCATGGAGCAGTAGATCTCAAAGTGTGGAGCTACGCATCGATCTTCCAGCATGTACAAGAAGCACTGGCGGCCTTCTTCGACGAGCCCGACGTGCCAGCAAGCGCTCAGGATGTTCACGCAGGTGGCCTCGTCGGGTGGAATTCCCAGGAGCTCCATCGGTTTGAGCAGCTCCAGCGCTACCTTGCCATGCCCGTTTCGAGCATACGCGGTCGCCATCTCGGCCCAGGGCTTGACGTCCGGGTGTGGGATCCTTGCGAGAAGATCCCGGGCTTCGCCCAAATGCCCGCTCTGGGCAAATGCTGCCACCACCGCGGTCCAGGTGATCCAATTGCGCTCCGGCATGGATTGGAATGCGTGCTTCGCTTGGGCGACGAGGCCGCTCTGGGCGAATCCGGCTGCGGTGCTCGTCCAGGAGACTACATTCCTCTGGGATATCCGATCGAAGGCGGTGCTTGCCTCGTCCATCAGCCCCGCCTGGGCAAAGCTCGAGATCATCGCGTTCCAGGAGACTGGGGCATGGAATCGAAGACGGCCTTGGCCGCGACGGCGTCTCCGACGAGCCCGTGCACGGTGATCATGGCGTTCCAGGAGATCACATCGAGCTGTGGCGCGCGAGAGATCGCGGCGATGGCGTCGTCGACCTGGCGAGATTGGGCGTAGGCGGCGATGAGCGCGTTCCAGGAGACGATGTTGCGAGAGGGCATCGAGTGGAAGAAGGATTGGGCGTCGTCGACGCGACCGCTCTGGGAGAAGACTGTGATCATCGCGTTCCAGGCGATGGAATCCCATTTGGGCATAAGAGAGAACATCTCGACCGCTGGATTCAAATCTCCCGCCGTCGCCAGGCCTTCGATCATGGCCGTCCAGGACACCACGCTCCTTTCCGCCGCGGAATCGAACATCGCCATCGCATCGTCCACATGCCCCCTCTCCGCGAAACCACGAATCATGGCCGTCCACGACACCACATCGTGCTCGGGTATTCTCAAGAACACGTTGCGCGCCCTCATCCCCCTCTCGGCATTCGCGACGACAATCACAGTCTAGGGGCGCTCGGGCA